GGTTAAGCAACTGCCTTCGGCTCAGGTCATGATCCTGGAGTCCCGGGATCGAGTCCCGCATCGGGCTCCCTGCTCAGCGGGGGGTCTGCTTCTCCCTCTGACCCTCTTCCCTCTCATGCTCTCTGTCTCTCATTCTCTCTCTTTCAAATAAATAAATAAAATCTTTATAAATAAATAAATAAATAAAATCTCAAAATCTTAAAATCAATCAATCCATCAATAACTAAAAGATTTAATTAAACACCAAATGACAGCCAAGCAAGGCATCTGAAAGAGCTACCACTTGCAGTCACTGGAGCTCTCTTTTACCCAGAAGGAAAGCGTGTGGCCATTCCAAGTTACAAAGATGCTACAATATCATCAGCAACTTTCTGCCCTAATTGATTTTATATCAAACAATTTATGTGAGAAATTAAGGCCTTCTTCGATTTTTCTCTTTGGTTTATAATTCTACAGTGTTGACAACTCTGCATGAATCTGTTCTTTTTGTAAAACAGTCCCATAATTTAGCCTATAGAAAAGCAGAAAGTAATTCCTTGTCACTCAACATAAAAACAACTCTACAGTTAAAAAAAAAAAAGAGTTGTTTTTCTTTCCAAACTGAGGCTCTCCATGCTTTTGCTTCCATTGACGGAGATTTTGTTACAAATAGATTCCCAATTTAGCAACACCCAACTGGCATGCTCTGAATTTTTTTTCATGGTATCAAGTTTCAGAATATAATCTCAAAACAAAAGCTTGGTTTTTTTTTTGTTTTGTTTTGTTTTTTTTCTAAGAAATTAAGCCACAGTGTCTATTCAATACCCTGAGGTTCTACAATGCTGTATATTCCCTTGACTTAGAAAGCAGACTCTGGAGAGTTTTAACAAAGGGTCACCCACTAGCTCATATGGTGCTTCTGTGCAAACTGGAAAGAGAAAACCCTACCCTTAAAGTTTCTCTAGATTGGTCCGTACAAAGAATGTCATAACATGTTGATTATATGGGCACAACATATTATTTTTAAGAACGAGGCATTTTATAGTCATCTTCCTAAAAAAGGTCATGAAAAAAACTAAAACCACCATGACTATGATGTGCCTGGGACTCTGGGGAGGGTAACCACTAGGAAACAGAGTGTGCCAGCTGAATGTGGCAGCCTTGCTTTCACATCTGGATTTCCTTTAAGAGGCAAAGGGCCTACCTCAAATCCCATTTCAAAATTGAAGGAATGAACCAAATTCTCGCCCTTTATGGGAGTCTCACTGGTTGAGTTTCACTTGGAGGTTCCATCATCAGACCTTGATTATAAATAAACTGGGTTGTATTCCACTCTCTCATTGAAATGGAATTTTACAAACTCCCAAAGGGAGAAGTACAGAACCTCCTTACCCGACAGGGTCTGGGTGTGAGGTTTCACTTCATGACCACCAGAATTTTAAATCCCCACCAAATTTCAACTGCACGTCATTCCCCCATTAAACTCACTGGGGACACGGAGTACTCACTACAGAGAATTAACTGATTGTCATCGTACTTTATATTTAATTTTTAGGTATTTGAGCCAGGCACATAAGAAGACCCAAAGAGTATTCACAGGTGTCTGGAAGGCAAAAACTACCCAGAACAAGAATGTTAACAGAAAACAACAAAAGTCACTATTTTCCATTTACGCTTATACCAAGAGGAACTTTTTTCTTACCCCTGGCTGTTTCATTTTCTGAATGGCAAACTTGAGCAGGTAGGATAACTGTTCAATGGTGAGCATTGTCATGGCCTTACTCTGAGTCTCGATGCATTCTGCTACTGTAATCTTCTACGAGTCAAAATCACACAAATGTTCAGTTAGAAAAAAATTACTATTCCCCGTACAAAGTTCCCTTTCCTCCTAATTTTCCAATAAGCTCATAATAAAAATTCCTTTCCATCCAAACGAGACTAGTTGTTTCACTTGAGAAGGACTCCAATCTACTTGACCACACACTGGATCAGTGGATAGAAATGAAGAGGCACACCAATCCACTGGTGATGACCTTATTTGGAAGTGTTTTTCACTCATGAAGATGACATAATCTGAGAAAGAGGCAGGTGGGCAGGGACCTGAAAAATCGTCACCATTACAACCCTGGGTTTCAAGAATGGGATGTGAAAGGAAAGACCACTAATGGTTTTAGGGTGATCTCTGCACACAATGAATCAGTCACTTAACTTGATCCTCTTAGCATTCTGGGCTACCTTTCAGGAAACTGACAAGGCTTTAACTCAATGACATCACTGATGGAAAAGGACAGTATTCCCTGTACAAAGAATCCAAGGGATGGGAGAGAACTAAATATAAATATGACTGCATTCTCTGTCCCCACGGATGTGAACCCACTCAGGACATTCTGGCAAACGACACAAGAAGCGTAGTCTAGCTGTCTGTCTCCATGGGAAATAAATGTCATTGTGAAAGGGAAATTCCCATGAAAGAAGAGGCCCAGAGAAATGTCTGAAACCAGACTCTGCTATGTCAATCTGGTACAAAATCCCAGAGCTTCAGACTCCTTATGTAGCAGCAACACCAAAATAGCAAAGTCTGATGATGTCAGGAAACACTCTTTAACCATCTGTGTAGGGAGAGCTGAGAAAAGTTTCCTCCAATTAATCTTGATTTAGTTTCCAACCTTCATAGCTCTGGATCCTCCAAAAGGAACCTTCAGAAGTGTCTGGTTGGTTGTCGAGGAAAAGGGCAACACATGAGTTGCTCAGAAGCTGGAAACAGTACATGACGCACGTACCTAACGGCTTAGCTACCCGAGCCTGAGACAGCTAGCGAGGTGCCTGCACTGCCAATGCACCCCTGGAAGAAATCTGGGGCCCTGAACCTTAGACACAGAACACCTGTTTGTTTGAATCGCTGTTTGCTTCCAGATAGCTATCCACAGCGAACACTGTCACCTCTCCTCCATCCCCGATCCCTTCCCTCCTGGCTAGCGGCACCTGGTTCCCATGATATAGATTGAAAGTGCCGGACAAGCATTTTCAAGATTCTTTTGCTTGAAGACTGGTGCAATCCTGACTGATGAGGCCAAGGACAAAGTCACCTGGAGGCTGAAGGGCAAGGTCCTTCTGCTTGATAAAAAGGGTTGTAAACAGAAACACTCCTCCTCTTAGAGGGATTTTTGTCTAGGCACACGTGATTAAAAACCCCAGCAGCCAGCTTATGGCCATGGCGGGGAGCGGGGGGGGACGAGGACACACTTTGCCTCAACAGTGAAACAGAGTCTGGCTGTGCACAAACTCTGGCCTGGCCCTGCCTCTGGGTTCTTTCTACACATGAGAATAAATCCCTATTGATCCCTATTGTTCCAGCCTGCATCCATCAGGATCGTTACTTGCAGCAAAAGTCACTATCATTTCTGCAAAATTATGAATAAAACAATTGCGAAATGTGGGTCAAGACAAAAGGAAACGGATGAAGGATCCAGTGCCCACCCTAACTGTAGCAGAATCAGGTCGACCCCCCAACAAGAGGGCATCGCTGAGCAAAGGGTATCCTACACATCTCTCTGTCTCAAGTACCCCAAAGAGAACCAGAGGCCATCGTTTGCAATTTTAGGGGCAGAACACCATTAAAATGTCATCATCATATCAATGTGAAGTCTCGTCTCTTTTCATATAGTTCTTATTTTTCTCCGTTCTCAACACGAAAGCAGTACCACAGACACCGTCCTATAGCTTGCTTCTTTTGAAAGACATCGGGGAGAACGTTCCATTTCGTATACAGAAAGCTTCCTTGTGTGAGATCAAGTTCTAATATACCTTCAAACCCAAGTGACATTCCGTATTAAATGATTTTGCAGATGGCATCATTTGCAGCATCTTGAAAAAGCGTCATCACTGGAAGTCGCCAATAATGGAAGACACCTCAGAATTGTGGAAATGGTCATAACTGTTTTAATAAAGGAAAACGTTAGGCTTTCTGACAAATGAGATACTTATGTTCTTCACTAAGCCAGCGGGCTTCTGCCTGGGTTCTGTACCTGCAGCCTCCTCAATGGAAGGCGGCACGACTCGCTCCTCCTCTCCTTCACGCCGTTCTCAAGTCTCAGTGAGGCCTTCCTGGGCCTTCCTGGGCCTCTTCACTTGAAAGGGAAACACCCTCCACCCGCCTTACTCCCAATTCCTCCTCTTCAATTCATTTTATTTGGTTTTTGTCCTCTTCTCCTGAAAAGCATGTCATGCGTGCCTCTTTTTGTTCACGGCCGGATCCCTAGCACCTAACGGGCACTCGAGAAACAGTTGCAGCATGAATGAAAGCATCAGATGACAACCACACGGAGCACACAACCCAAATTGGTCTTCTCAGCTACCGCCAATGACTCAACGGATGCAGCAGGAGACAACATCCAAGAAGAGCAAAAACAGCATGTGATCTTTTCAAAATACGTGAACTGCTAAACAGTTCCTAAGTTAACTTCTGAAACGTTCATTACAGCAGAATCAGAGAAGGCTGCAGATCCCAGAGTGATCCAAAGACCCAGGAAGAATCAAAACCAACACTCAGTGCAATTGTCACTGCAAGAGCGGCAGTGCTCAGGCCCCTGCCAAAGCTGGTCCCGAAAGGGGGTGACCAGGATAGAGCAAGTGGAAGGCAAGAGATTTCATTTTTTTCCTGAATCTGGATTATTCAAAAATTTTTAAATGAAAGGGAGAATGAGAAAGGAAAGGAAACGAAGCAGATAATGCATTCATTCGTTGGGAACTAACCTCACATTCAGGACAAAACCAGTCCCCCTCTGGTTCCGATGTCAGTCTCAGACACTTAGCGTGATAAACCCGGGGACAGAGCTCACAGCAAAGGACTTGGCCTTCCCGGTGACAAACCCAGCAGTAGAAATCATTCCGTCCATCCTGCGGTACAACATCAACAGGGTCTGTGGTGAGTGGCTGCTTCATATAGTAAAACGGACCATGTCTTAGTTCTGACTGAAATGTAGGCAAGAAAGACAGGTTTGGTTTCAAAACAAATGTGCATTCTCAAAAGGAATTTGAACAAATACATCAATAACAACAAAAGAACATCACAGCATTCCACACATTCCTTAAAAAGCTATCTTGGGTCACTCTACTAAATACAGAGTTTGCAGGTCATTAGATACTAAGATATCTTTTTTCCTCTCTCTCTCTCTTCTACATTCATAAGCCATAGATTGAAAAGCTGGTGTCTTAAGAGTTAAGAGGCTGCCCTAGCAGAATAATTACAATGGCTACTACCCAGGCATACCCAGGTTCAGATTTTAGTTCTACAAGCTGCATGACCATGGCCAAATCTAAACCTCTCAGCTTCAACTTTCTCATCTGTAAAATGGGGATGATAATACCTAACATCATGGTATTTGGGTTGGGATTCAAGGGGATGATATAACGTATGCATTTAACACAGTGCTGCCATTACTGATATACTTAAGAGACCAACAAATGGAGGTCCAAAGAAAGCCAACAATTAGCCCTAGGATTCTTTCAACAGCAGGCTTTGGGAGGATAGATCAATTGGGATTTGAGTCACCAAAAAGAAAAAAAAAAAGGCCATTCCTTTTTTAAGTCTACCCCCAATGCATAAAATATGTGAGCCACCAGAGGCTTCCTAAAACCATGATTCTTCAACATGGTAGGTTCTCATATTTGCAGAGGTTCCAGATCTCCTATTCAGAAACACCAACAGCAGAAAGATTACATGAGTGGCCAATTCATGGGAATCAAAACCACTTCCTACTCCAGAATGTCAAGAAAAATGTTTCCCTAATGATACATTATACAATCTAACAAAGCCACATTCCGAACATATAAGATCACTCAGAAGAAACTCATCAGCAAAAAATGTCTAGCAGAAATCAGTAACAAATACAATTTTTAAGAAGTACTGTAAGAAATTATGGGGGTGGGGCGCCTGGGTGGCTCAGTCGGTTAAGGGTCCCACTCTTGATTTCAGCTCAGATCATGATCTCAGCATAATGGGATCGAGCTCCTCGTCAGGCTCCACAATCAGCACAGAGTCTGTTTGAGATGCGCTCTCTCTCTCCCTCTGCCTCTCCCTCCTCTCTCAAATACATAAGTAAATGAATCTTCTACAAAAAAGAAAGGAAAGAAATTCTGGGGGCAACTGGGTAGCTCAGTTGGTTAAGTACACGATTCTTGATCTCAGCTCAGGTCTTGATCTCAGGGTTGTGAGTTCAAGCCCCACACTGGGCTCCATGCTGGGCGTAGAGCCTACTTTTTTAAAAAATTAACATAACAATAAAAAATTTAAAGAGAGAAAAAAAGAAAGAAATTCTGGTGGTAAGCATCAAAATGACCCAATAACTAGCTATGCGACCTTAAGAAAGCTACTCAACCCACTTTGAGCCTTGATTCCATGGGTAATAGTTCAGCCACAACCCCAGTACCTATCTTGGACAGTAAGCTTTTTTCCTGTCCTGTCCTTCAGCAAAACATTACAGTTTCCTCCACAAAGGTCTCATATGTTGGTTAAAGCTGCATAATTTTTGTTGATATTACGAATGGGATCTTTCTCTATCCTATTTTCTAAGTAGTTATTGTTGGTACACAGAAATGTTGTTAGTTTTTAATGCTGATCTCCTATATAGGCAGTTCTAATAGTTTAATTGATTAAAAACATCTGCTCTAAGCAACATCAGTTTTTTTGTCTGTTCATCTCTAGTATTTTTACACTCCTTTTCTTTTCCCCTTATTGTAATGGGGCCCTTATTTTATCCTGGGACCCCCAGGATAATGGGAAAGAGTGGTAAAGATTAAAAGCAGTCATGTCTTGTTCCCGCTTTTTAGTATGAGGTTTTAAGATTATCGAAATGTCTGCTATTTCTACACTCCTTTTTATCAACCCTCCCGGATGCTTCCTTCGTAGATCTTTGTTAATCCATTCTTCAAAGCCTCCCTACTCTCATTTCTACTAGGAAAACAACTAAGATTCCATTTATTTACCTGACAGAGAGAGACGGCGAGAGAGGGAACACAAGCAGGGGGAGTGGGAGAGGGAGAAGCAGGCCTCCTGCTGAGCAGGCAGCCCGTTGCGGGACTTGATCCCAGGACCCTGTGATCATGACCTGAGCCAAAGGCAGATGCTTAACGACTGAGCCACCCAGGCACCAAGACTTTTTTTTTTTAAGATTTTATTCATTTATTTGACACAGAAGAGAGCACACAAGCAGGCGAGTGGCACGGAGGGGAGTGGGAGAAGCAGGCTCCCCACTGAGCAGGAGGCCTGTTGTGGGGCTCGATCCCAGGACCCTGGGATCATGACCTGAGCCGAAGGCAGATGCTTAACCAACTGAGCCACCCAGGCACCCCAACAACTAAGACTTAAGGGTAACTCGGGCGCCTGGGTGACTCAGTGGTTAAGTGACTGCCTTCGGCTCAGGTCATGATCCCAGAGTCCCGGGATTGAGTCCCACATCGGGCTCCCTTCTCGGCCGGGAGTCTGCTTTTCCCTCTGACCCTCTCCCTTCTCATGCTCTCTCTCACTCTCTCTCTCAAATAAAATAAAAATCTTTAAAAAAAAAAAAAGACTTAAGGGTAACTCCATAATTCTTGAGCCCAATTATTTCCCTGCTTCCATTCAGATACAGGCCTCTATACTTGGTTTCCAGACAATAACATCACTACCATTTTCTCTCCATGTTAAGTGTTTAACATACTCTCATACACATCATCTTCATTTTATCCTCACACCCCACAGAGAGGTACTCAGGATAGACACCACTAGTCTCACTTGACAGCTGAGAAAACTAGTTAAAACAACCCAACTTTCTCTCACCCTGATACCCTGTATAAGACAATGCTGGGTGGAGGAGAGACTCTAATGATGAAGTGACCCCCTCAGAGAACATTCTCCGTAGGTCAAAATAATTTGTTTCATGCAAAGAGCTGAGAGGGGGGGAGGGAGTGAATCTGAAAATTAGGAAAACTACTAGAAACACCACAGAAGGGGACATGAAAGGAGAACATCTGGGGTGGGGGTGTGGCTCTCACCCTCACACTACTGTTGCTCAGGGCAGAAAATTCTTTGTGGGACGGAGCCGTCCTGTGCATGATGGGATGTGTGGTAGTATCCATGGCTAGATGCCTGGAGCACCCCACCATCCACAAAACTGTGACCATCAAAAATGTCTCGATATTGCCAAACATCCCTGGGGGGGCAAAACTGCCCTTAGTTGAGAACCACTGACGTACAGGGTCTGCTATCTGCCTAGGAAATGCTTGTTTGCATTTGGGGCAGGAGAGGGGGCGAAGGGGGGCTCTAAGGAGGGGGCAGAGGACAAGTAACAAGAGGGAGGCAAGGTGTGGAAAGACGAGAAGATCCTCGTATGGAAAGGTAAGCCTCACGTATCAAGCAAGCACGAACTGTTTCTCACCTGAGTGAGGTCTTCCAGAGTGCTTCTGTGGCTTTTGCAACATAGCAGTAAGCCATAGCTCAGTGCCTGACTTCCTTTCAGCAAGTTAATAATAGGACAGGAAGAGCCGATCTAAATGAAACTGGAAGAACCGAACAGGCCAGCTAAACTCCCTAACTGGAAACCCAGGGCCTTCCTGTCCAAGAGAAGCCCAGCTGCCACTTCTGAGGTTAAGCTCCCTGCCCCCATGTCCTTGCCCCCAACCCACACCTGGCTGGGAATGGGTGTTCCTGGGGGGAATCATGAGGGATGCGTGCTAGGCAGCAGCTGTTGCTGCTGAGAACTAGCTGCCTGGTAACCTCTGTATCAATCAGATATCTGCCTTATCTTATAAGTGTTTCCTGCTCCATAAAAATAGTCTGATAACAAATATGGAACATTTAAAAAAGGAAAAGCAAATCATTCCAGGTAAAATGAGTTACGATTTTCTCCACCCTATGTATAAGGTGTGTTACCAGCCTGCTAGTAAGGCAAACAGGTTGCAACCTGTGTTATTATAGGATAACTGCAGGCTGTGTGAGCAAATGTTCTTATTTCCCTGCTTCTTCCACAGGCTGATTGAACAAGAGAACAGGCTCATTCACTCACTTCTCTAATACTTCAGTCTTGTGCCAGTAGCCAAAAAACTTCTTCTCTAACGGGTTGTATAAAGACTGGAAATAGGGGCTCCTGGGTGGCTCAATTGGTTAAGCGTCTGCCTTCAGCTCAGGTCATGGATCTCAGGGTCCTGGGATCGAGCCCCACATCAGGCTCCCTGCTCAGCAGGGTGTCTGCTTCTCCCTCTTTCTGCTTATGTTCTCTCTTTGTGTCTCTCAAACAAATAAAATCTTTAAAAAAAAAAAAAAGACAGTAAATAGCTGAGGGCGTTGCAGGTCATGTGGTCTCTATTACAAGGACTCAAGTCAGCCACAGTAGCAAAAAAGCAACCATAGACAATATGTAAATGAATGAATGTGGCTGTGTGCCAATAAAACTTTATTTACAAAAACAGGCTCAGGGCAGCATCTGGCTCACAGGCTGTAGTTAGCTGACACCTGGTCTGCGTAAAGCAGAAAATGGGTGCTCTGGCTGTGTGAGAGCACAGGGTACATGTGTGACAAACAGGGGGACCAAAACTCAAAATTCCTACACGGACCACAGAGGTAACATACGTGAATGAAAACGGTCCTCGTTCCAGCTTTTGTTCTTCTCCATTTAAAGCACAAACACTGCAAAATATGTCTCTGCTCTGAGAAAAACTGCCCAGCCCTGGAGTGTGAGGAATGTCACTGGCATTCAGCCTGGACGCTGGCGAGACAACAGGGAGAGGCAGAACTCGGGCCCATCTTAAGGGACAGCCCCGGCTCAGCTCCAGTGATTAAGACAGCTAGGCAGATACACACTCCCAGTGCTGCCTGAGCTCAGGGAGAAGCCAGCAAGCCTACACCCCCCCCCGAACTGTCTCCATTGCTAATACACTGCCCCAGCCCAACAAGGGACTTCTGTGAATATTTTTAAGTTTTTAAGACAATGCATGGGCCCAACAAAGTAAGATCTAGCTCACCCATTTATGGTATGTATATACCCTATACTCAGAGGCAGAGAGGGGGGACCCCATCATTCCTTTACCATATTTGATCAAAGGTATACCGATGGCCACCCAATCTGTTAGCAGATTATTTCTCAATCCTTTAATGATGGGGGGGGGCCCTGCTTCCAAGTGGACTCTTCATAGTCAAATATCCCAAGAACTAAAAATTAGAGTAGTATTTTTCAGTAAAGGCCCTAATATCATTTGAGGGAAGATACTTCTTGGGCCATCTACCGCAGGATATTTGGCAACCTAACCTTCCACAAAATGATAGGAGCATCCTTTCAGGCTTTGGGATGTCTCCCCCTACCCCAATCCCAAGAAAAAGCACCCCCTTGTTTTCAAACCTTTCCTACAGAGTGAAACCATACCATTGGGCCAAAAGCCTATAAAATATTAATTACAGGGGTGCCTGGATGGCTCAGTCGGTTAAGCTTCTGCCTTCGGCTCAGGTCATGGTCCCAGGATCCTGGGATCGAGTCCCACATCGGGCTCCCTGATCAGAGGGGAGCCTGCTTCTCCCGCTTCCTCTGCCTGCCACGCCCCCTGCCTGTGGTCGCTCTGTCAAATAAATAAATAAAATCTTAAAAAAAAAAAAAAGTAATTATAAGGCTTAAATACTTTTTTCCCAAAAAACAAAGTGTTTTAAAGTTCCTCTTACAACTCCCCTAAAATTACTGAATTCCTAGTATATGAAAAATGGGTGAAATAAGGTCCAACCTTAAAAATTCAACCCCTATCTCCATTTGGTTAATAAGAAGTCTACCAAAAATGGAAAAATATGGGTTTTTTTTTGTTTTTATAAGACAAGAAAAGCTTTTTTTTTTCTTTGAACACAAAAAAGAAATTAAAATTGAGAGGAAGGGGAGAAGAATCTTGACATATGCCAAAAATCAAAGGCATTTGAACTCTTGAAAGAGCCAGAGGCAGAAGGTATGAGCCAAGTCGGCAGGGTGTGAGACTGGGGAGGGGTGGGGAGTGTGGAAAAACTAGAGCACAGAGGCCCTGTGTCTTAAGGGGCAGGCTCTACTCCACTTCAGCTGTTGCCGGATTTTTCTGAGTTTTTGTAAGAACCCAAAATACAAGTTGTTATTTGAAATCTCATGATCTTCAAATGTTGGTGACTAAGAAATTATATTACTGGTAAAACCCAGCACTTGCAGACCTACAATTTGCTTTCAATTCCGTAATTTTGTAATGCTATAAAATTCTAACAGAAAGAAAGAGGAAAGGGAAAGTGTCCAGAGGAATTTTTTAAAGGGATTTAAGTTCCCCTTAAGGAAAAACAGATTGTTACAGGAGGGAGGCTGCCGCCCCTATGCAAATATTATATGCTAGAATAAATTATGGGGTCAAGGGTCAGGAATGTCATTTCTTTGCAGTTAAGCCCGTTTCTCCTCTGCCAACTCCTGACTGTTCGGCCCCAGGGAGTTTTAGGGCTGAAAAACAAACCTACAATCAACCTTATGATGTTTTCAGCCCAAACCCCTATTTTACAAGGTAAATGAATCTCAAAGATGGGTCAGCAAGTGACATGGTCCCACAGTGAGTCTCCCAGATGCAGCGGGGCTAGAAAGAGCCAGATCTCTAGGTCAGGACCAAACTTCCCCTGTGCAACGGTCCCATAAACTCTTCTATCAATACTGAAGATGACAGATTATTCAGGAGCACAAACATGCCCCATGTCCAGCTCCTCCGAGTCTCCTCTTTTCCACACCCAGAGTGCACTGTGGATTCACGAGCCCCCACCCTGCGGCTACAGCAGCCGCCAGACACTGGCCACTTTTTGAGGCTGCTAGTCCAAAAGGGGACACGGACTGACAAACGTGTCACTGTGGTCACGGGCTGTAAGTGTTACAGAAATGGCCCTAACACATGGATGGGGAAGGGAGAGAAGAAAATACATGGACTATGCATGCAGGCTGATCAGCTTCCAGAAAGAGAGGTAAAAGCCAGTTCCTTAAAAGACGGGTAGGAACTCAAAAAAGTGTGATGCATGTGTGCATACACAGGCAGAGGCAAAGGAGAAGGCTTTCTGCACAAAGGGGACACCATCTGCTTCACGCCCTCCTGGTACCTGGTAAGGGAGGGTTTGCTCAGGAAGTTAAATTACTACCTAAGTTAAGGTTTGGGGATTATCTATGGCCTTCCTGTTTCTGTTTCTTTAACAGAGAGAGAGAATGTCTCATGGGATCCATGCCCAGTGCAGAGCCTGAGGCAGGGCTCAACCTCAGGACCCTGAGATCAGGACCTGAGAGAAAAATCAAGAGTCCGATGCTTAACAGACTGAGCCACCCAGGCACCCCTTTGTGTTTCTTAGTCTTCACTGTCAGCAGCTATGGGATGGCTCCTGGGTGAAAGGGATGGGTGTCAGCGCTTCAAGCCAGACGGGCAGACCTAAGCTCAAAGGCAGCTTCTGCTTCGCTCTGAGGCCTTGAGGAGACACCTTAACCTCTCTGAACCTCTGTGTTTTCATCTGTAAGATGGACACAAATATAGCCCTTTCCCACAGGGTTATTATAAACATGAACACAGAAAAATGCCTTACAACAGGAAGTGGCACATGGCCAACCAATGTCTCTTAGTATTATTACCACCAGCACCGTCATATATGCTTCTCAGTCCCCCTAGAAATTTATTTAGGACCCGCCTGTTTCTTCTCTTTTAACGGGATTCCCACCTCATTAGACCTGCACTATCCAACACAGTAGCTATAAGCCACAGGCAGTCAATTAAATTAAAATTAAATTAAAAATTCAGTTCCTCCAAGAAACAGACTCTTAACTACAGAGAACCAACTGCTGGTGACCAGAGGGGAGGTGGGCAGGGGGATGGGGGAAATGGGGGTGGGGATGAAGTCGAATGCACTTACTGTGATGAGCATGGGGTATTGTAGGGCAGTGTTGAATCACTATACTGTACACCTGGAACTAACATTACACTGTATGTTAACTAACTGAAATCTAATTAAAAACTTAAAAAAATTTTTCGGTTAAAAAAAAAAACCCAGTCCCTGGGTCACATTTGCCATTTGCAGGTGCTGAATGGCCACATGTGGCTTGTGGCTATTATACCGAACAGCACAGATCTAGAACATTTCTGTAGCTGTCCTTTCATTATTTCATACATAGTTTGTGTGATTATTCCACTTAGTGTCGAGCCTGGCTTAATTTTTATTATTATGATTGACATCATCACCACAACCCTGTGAAACTGGTCGTAGTACTATTACTCCTGTTTCAGTGGATGAGCAAACTAGGCACAAAGAGGTTAACTTGCCCACAGACACCCAGCAAAGCAGAGTGGGCATCTCGCTATATAATTTTGAGAATGGAAATAGATTCGTGTGCAGAAATGCAGCCCTCTCCCAGTTCGGGGCATTTAACTGTTGCTAGTTTTCTTCCCATGAAAGCAACAACCTTATTTTTATTCAACCTCCAATCCCCAGGACCCACTTCGGCACTCCCATAATGCACAAGATGGATGAATACATCCCGAGGAATCCCTACTGAAATGCTAGCAGAACCACCGGGGCATCCTGTTTCCTCCAATGCTAGGAGATCTGACCTCGTGGCCCGCTCAAGCAGCTTTTTTTAAATCTTAAGAGTATCTAGCCTGCATCAGAGAATTTTAAAGCTAGATCTCTTAAGATCTAAGATGGCTAATGGATATTCCTATCTAGTTGATAGGTCTTGGCTGCAGAAGGAGGAAGGGGTCTAGAAAAGACTCCTGTCGGGTCGATGCGCAGTGAGACAAAAGGGTGACCAATTACCAAAGAGGACAGTGGGCAACGGGTAGAGACAGCAGCTGTGTTACCACAGACCTAAACCTATTATTTTACAGATGAGAAAGCTGAGACCAGGAGGAAGCCTGCCTCAGCCCCGTAACCACCTCCAGGCAGAGCTCAGCACAATCCTACTGGCATGGTCTAGCAGGAAAAACTCCTCCGGCCACATGTGGAAACAGCAGTAGAGTGTAAGAAGGAAATCCAAGGAAAATCCCCAAATCCTACAGCACAGTATCTTCAAGCTCATCTGGGTCACTGCCCTGTCCCCAGAACAGATCTAAAAAGCCACTGGAAATTTCTACACAGACCCATTTTGAGCTGCCCTTCTTATCCTACGCAAATGACAGCTAGAGCAAGGCAGCTTGCTAAATGCCAAGAACACGGGCTGTCAGCAACACCCGCAAAGCTACAGTGCTGCTCCCTACAACCTTTGTCCTGCTGGTGTGGACGCCATTCCCAGCGGCCCTTTACCTGCTCCTTATTGTTATTGTTCAGTAAGCCGGGTTTCTTTTTCTTTTTAATGGGGCTTGTGGATGTGTCCTGTGGCGAGTGGCCATTGGAAGAATGCGGAGGGCTGGGGAACTTTCTTTTCTGGGCTGTTCTCTCTGTGGAGCCAGGATCTGAAAGAGACACACAGGACCACATATTTTAAAGCAGTCAGGGAGGCCAAGGCCCCCCCAGGGAGGGGAGTGTGTGGGACACAAGGCATTCTGTCCCCAGGCCCAATGCCACTGCAGTGTTCGTTCGTCCTCCTAGAATACACTCACCCCATCCCTTTGGTTAATGGTCTCAAAGGTCAGACACTTCCTTCAGCCTACATGCCATTTTTGTTAAAATTTTAATTCACTGCCAGAATATAAAAATCAAGAAACTTCCCATAATCACCCTAGACTTCTGGCTTCTCTTAAAAACAAACAAAACAAAACAAAACACACACAAATCAGGGCCTGCATGGCGTTATGGCACCAGACTGATCTGTCTACCCACCAGTGAGACACTTTTAGTTGGAAACGTGCTCTCCATTTTGCCAAAATCCCCACCCGTCTCTACTGTGTCCCTGTTGACCAGGTCATGACCCAGCCACCACGAGCTGTGTCACACAGACACCAGTACCGTCCTCATCCCAAAATGCTTCTTCTCCATACCCGCGCCGGACGGCAACGGCCAGGAAACCAGGAAAGACAGGCCAGAGAGGCCACACGCTTCCAGAAATCGAAGGCACACATGCTTCTTTGTGGAAGACGACAACACTTACTGTGTTATGCTTGCTTGTGACTCTCCTCCAAAGGGACAGACACAAATGACATTCTCCCTGATTCTCCTCCGAGACATGCCAGCCGCCCACCCGTGCCAATTCATTCCTTCCCATTTGGACTCTCCCAGCATCTCATTTAAACCCAGACACTTCCACCACCACCCCGTCTTCACCTGCAAGGCCTTGGGTCCATTCCATGCCCGCTGGCTGTCTCATTAGCGTCGGGGCGAAATAAGGGCCCAGAGTGGCACGCCTTACATTCTGAGAAAGAGACATGACAGGCACAAGGAAAGACAGCTACGTGAGAGCACAGGGGATGGGGTGGGATGTGGAATCCAGAAGGACAACTATCCCCAAAGCGAACCTGACGACGCGCCTCCTCCGGTTTTAACTTGCGGGCAAGCCCCAGCACGCGGGACGCGCCATGCGTCACCAACCTCCGTGTGCGGACAGGGGCCACTGGGGCAGATGAACACAGTCTGGTACAGACACATGCGATGCCTCCTAGGGGTTTCCTTCCACCTGAAAGAGCATCTTCCAAGCAGGCTCATTAAAGGAGATGGTGGACGACTTCTGCAAAACCCGATCCACAGGATGGAACCCTCCACTCTCAGTGGGCAACTTCAGAAAAATCCCGAACAAGCGTTCCGGGTGCTACACTGACACATCGCCCCGAGAGGAAATTAAACGCTAACCACAGGCCCCTTGAGGGAGAACAGACCCCGGAGTTTGGAGGATCATCCCACAGACTGACTTCAAAGTGGAGGCCCAGAGAGCCCAAAGGGATGGCCCAGAGGCACATCACAGCTAGTTAGCAGGAAAACTCACCGAAAAGGTGCAGCCTGGGATTGGTGTTCCCCTAGAGAGAACCTCCTCTCACGCCCAACAGAGACCCCTACCCCACTCCACCCTCATCCGTGAAGACTCACCTCCTCCACCTAGAAACACACGCTACAGATACAATCACAGGGAGCAAAGCAGCCCTAAAATGATTCAAATGAGGCCCTGGGTGATGTACCCGGCACCTGGAAAGGACTAAAATGTCCACAAATCGAGGACTGGTCTAATAACATTCCATAGCCATACAGTGGAATATTCTTTTTTTTTTCTTTTATGTAATCTCTATGCCCAACGTGGGGCTTGAACTCACAACCCTAAGATCAAGAGTCACATGCTCTACCAAGTGACCCAGCCAGGCGCCCCTCATACAGTGCAATATTCCACAGCCATTAAGAATAAGGAAGCACCTCTATGCAAACAGACGCGTGACTATCTCCAAGCTTCTGCATCTGGTTAAAAGAGCAACACATATCTAGCACCATTAACAGACTGACACACACACCCCAAAAACAATGTTAGATATCTAAGTTTGCACAAGCCTAGCACATTCCCGGATGAACACAAAACTACTACAGAGCTCTCAACTGGGACTAGCGGCTGTCTCAGGGGAGGAAAACATGCAGGAGGTGGGGGAGGGATTATTTTTCACTGTGTACCCTCGTGTATTTTATTTATCATGAGCATAGACTACCTTATCAAAATAAATTTAAAGTGAGGTATTTAGGAAGGTCAGTAGCACATAAAAAAGCAGCAAGTGCAAACCAAAGCCAGGAATGAGCAAATGATGAAGGCCTGATTCAGGATAAACAATGTCACCAACCAGATGGACCAATCACCACAGGCTTGGGGACCACAGTCTGGGATTTGTTCAACATGGAGCTGATAAACCCAAATAACCCTGCTCAACTGTCAGAATATGCGTGTTAGGAAGGTGTTCTGGTTGGGGCGCCTCTATGGCTCAGCTGCTTAAGCGTCCAACTCTTGATCTCAGCTCAGGTTTGTTTTTTTTTTTTTTTTAAGATTTTATTTATTTATTAGAGAGGGAGAGAATGAGAGATAGAGAGCACGAGAGGGAAGAGGGTCAGAGGGAGAAGCAGACTCCCCGCCGAGCAGGGAGCCCGATGTGGGACTCGATCCCGGGACTCCAGGATCATGACCTGAGCCGAAGGCAGTCGCTTAACCAACTGAGGCACCCAGGCACCCTCAGCTCAGGTCTTGATCTCAGGGTCATGAGTTCAAGCCCCATGTTGGACTCCACGCTGGGTAGTGGAGCCTAGTAAAAAAAAAAAATAAAAAAAACAGAAAGGTGTTTTGGGGGCCCCGAGGAGATGCATCCCAGAAGAAATGGCACCTTGGCCAGCCCCCACAAAAAAAATTTTTTTTAAGATTTATTTATTTATTTGACAGAGAGAGAGAGTGAGAGCAGGAACACAAGCAGGGGGAGTGGGAGAGGGAGAAGCAGGCTTCCCGCAGAGCAGGGAGCCCAACGTGGGGCTCGATCCCAGGACCCTGGGATCATGACCTGAGCCAAAGGCAGACGCTTAACGACTGAGCCACCCAGGCGCCCCGAGCCAGCCCAAAATTGAAAGCAACTGGGCAAAGCTTTTGGTATTTGGTATGTTTTGTTTCATTTGCGGGTACTTTTCTTTTTTTTTAAAGATTTATTTATTTATTTATTTTAAAGGAGAGCACACACGGGGTCGGGGGAAGTAGGGGACAGGAAGAGAGAACCCCAAGCAGACTCCATGCTGAGTGTGGAGTGTGACATGGGCTCAATCTCATGACCCAGAGATCATGACCCGATCCAAAATCAAGTCAGATGTCCAACTGACTGAGCCACCCAGGTGCCCCTGTGGGTAGATTTTTAAAGAAGAAAGTACATGAGCAAAGACACATCAGCAAAAAAGTTAGGGGCACATTCGGGACAAAAACAACTCGTGTGTTTCCATATTTCTTCATGGAGCGCAATGCATTTTGTAAGGGACAGCTTTCCTCGTTGCAAGGACCACCTGGGCACCCTCCCACTGCTAGCAGTACTCCCAAACACACTGACAACAAAAAGCACCCCCACGTACTTCCCAAACACTCACAGAGGGGTGGTACCAGCCTCCTGAAGAATCACTGGGCTCGAACAAGAAAACATGGTAGATGATCAACACAGTCCAGCCAACACTTAGCCAGCCTTTGGGAGCCAGAAAGGACACCAGCCCCTCCTTGGACAGCCTAAGTTACCTACCTGTGACTGAGACCCCTTGGGACAATGGATCCCAAAGAGTAGTCCCCACACTAGCAGCAGTGGCACCACCTGGGAATTTTAAGAAATGCACATTCTCAGGCGCTACACCAGAGCTACAAATCAGAAACTCTAGAGGAGAGCCTGGCCATCCGTGGTTTAAGGAGCCCTCCAGAGAATTCGGGTGCACGCTGGTTTCAGGTGCTCTAGGATGTGTGTTTGGGGGATGCAATCAAAGTTCTCAAGTGTAGCGAATCCTGTTCCACACTGGTAAAGCCCATCTCCTCCCCTGCCCCACCGCCACCTGCGGGGCTTGGTCTGGGGCTGAGGAAACAGAAGCCGAGCAGGAAGGCAAAGCAAGAGAATAAAGACAGCTAAATAGGAGAAGACGCCAGGCCAGCCTCTCTACTTGTCAGGCTCCATCTGCAAAATGGGAGAAGGGAGGAAGGGACCAGACCGGAACTTCCCACATGGAGTCCATGAAAAGTGCTCCAGGGACCCACGAACCACATGCCACGGTTCTGTACAAAGACACAATTTCCTGGGAAGAGGGCCATGCCTAATCTATCTTCCCAAGGGCGTCATCAACACTAAAGATTAAAACTACAGAACTAGAGGATCTTAAGGTCCCTTTTGAACTCTGAAATTCGTTAATTCCAGGGGAGATAGGGAAGAAATACACTTAAGCAATTTAAGGCAGAGACAGCGTTTTGCCCAAGCCCAGCAGGAAACCAAAGGGGAAACCAGCGACCTGCTCAGTGAGGAGGGGTCCGACCAAAGGCTGCCCGTACCTAAGAGGACCCCAACCTTCTAATCCCTGCAAACCACAAAAACCCCAATTCTGTTCCTTCCTGGCTACAAACACACAGACTCCCTCCAGAGTTAATGAGAGATTGTCGGCCGCGTCCAAGGGGCAGGAGTGGAACAGGATCCAAGCAACAGACAAGTCTGTCAAGGCACAGGCTTTAAGTGAAGCTTCTAAGGAGAAAAGTGAGAAATACTAACTGGATTCACAGTCCTTCGGAAGTATGAGGGAGCAGGTCAGCATTCTGACTTAAAAATCTGCCCACTCCTAGGCCTGGGGTGGTGACAGAATGGTGGGTGTGGGCTTTGCTGTAGTCATTGCAACAAAGCCGCCTGTGTAGGACCTTTTCCAGAAAGCTGAGTCAAGGTTTTTTTTTTCCCCCTTCTTTAATGATTTAATTCTGATGAGGATTTACTGCTAAACACATCTCATCTATAAACTTGGAAAGATGACAAACAGCCACCGTAGACTGAATCACCAAGGAAAT